CTGAGGAGCATGGCAAACTGAAGGACTGAACTGTTTCTGGCTACCTGCTTTCTCTTTAAAGCCTGCAAGAACTGTGATCCTCTCTCTTCCCCGGGGGTTTAAAAAACATCCCCTCGCTTTCACCTTTCCAACAAATCTGGTTGCAGCCTGGATGGAAGGCTTATCTTCCCTTGCAGGTTTCTAGGGGAGAGTTTAACCAGGTATCGGTTGTGTGCACAGCTTTGATTTTATAGAAACTTGAGGTCCAGGGAAGAGAAGCAAGATCTATTCTTATGCTCTGGGTGATTGAGGTTTTGCCTTGCTTGGAGCTGGGAGGATGGGTTTCTCAAAGGCTCTTCTGTTCCCCTTCCACTTTTGGCTTTGGTTCAGAGGAGCAGGCAGCTCCAGAATCTTCCTGAAGAGCTGGGTGCTGTGTGATTTGAAGGGCTGCTGGCAGGCTGGATGAGAAGGTCTCTGTTTTGTCTTCTAGATTGCTTGCAGCTACTTCCAAGAAGATGTGGACATGGTGGTGAGGATGCCCCCTAGGAAAGACTTGGATAAGAATCTCCCACTCCTCACTACCATCTTTGGCAGCCAACAGGGAGCCCCTTCCAGCCTCCCTGGGTCTGTTCTTTCTCTCACCTGCTTGCAGGATGTGTGGCCTCTTTTCCAGCCTGCAGAATCCTTCCCAGGCTCTCTGGGCCGTGCGTGTCGCGGGGCTGCTTGTGTCGCAGCGCTGTTCCTACCCCCCTACAGCCAGCTGCTCGCTCTCACTTTCCAGCTCCATTCTGTAAAGGAAGGGGCAGCCGAGGCTCTAGGCTGGCCTGCTCTGTGTCCATCCAGTCCAGCTCAACTGCAGCAGTCAGAGCCAGGGCTGAGAGCAAGCTACATTCTTTTCTACTTTTCTGCTGCAGGATGCAGTTTGCTTTTTCCATGAGAATGAATTTACGCTTGAAACCAAAAATGGGAGGAAGAGAAAACCAGAGTAAGTGTGCATGAATACACACACACACACACCCACACACCCACACACACCCACACACACACACCTATATAGGCAGGGGGAGAGCAACAGGCACATTATTTTTCCATTTTCCTTTAATTAAGGCTCTGTGGAGGTGTGTTTGAAAACAGAGGGTCTCCTATGCCTTTGAGGAGGGTGAGAACACTGTTTTGGCTGCGTCCCGGGCCATATGCAGCGCATGGTGGCCAATGAAACTGGGCCTGGCTCATTCTATTGCTTGTCTTGGCAGTCAGTTCTGTGGCTTGTGTTACCAGCTCTGGAACTTGGGGGCTGCCAAGCTCCGTGTGCCTCTGTGTGTGTGTGTGCACACTCCTGTGTGTGTGTGTATGTGTGTGTGGTTTGGCCTCTTGAAACAGCAGAGACAAAAGCTTTAATGACCCAGCTTTGGAATTTTTAGTCTGTTTCGTTATACTTATTGCTGACTGTGGGAGGCCTGGCCAGAGCCCACCATTTTGAATTCTTTTTTTGTAAGTTTATTTTCTTGCTGCAACCCCTAAGTTCAACTCAGTTTTGAGCTCCATTTCCAAAGTGTTAGGTGGTCAGTGGCAGTTTTTAAAAAGGTCCCATGTGGTCATCACACATTGTGTGTGCATCTTAGTTCAGTATTGTGTTCTTAGCCCCTGTCACCAAGAGCCAGCATTTAACTAAGGCAGGAACAAAAGAGAGAAAGCATGGCTGGTGGCAGCACCTTCCTAGCTTCTTGCGCCTCAAATGTGGAGTCCTGGTAGAAATGACGTCACGTCATTTATTGAGCAACTGTACTGGGCAGAGTACCAGGGTGGACTTGCAGACAAGGGCCGCTGGAAGCTTTGCTGTGATTGTCTGGGAAGAGCCGGAGTCTCGTGGAGGAATGTTCCAGGTCCTCCTGCGGCTGGCATGGCTGTGTAGGTATCATGCCTACCAGCACACAGTGGCTTCTCAGAACCCCAGCAAACCCCTCTTTGTCTTTTGAAGAAGGCCCCTTCCAGACTGCACAGGCACAGTGACTGATGGACACAGAAGATGCGGCCCTGTGCTTGCCGGGCAGGGCCAGAAATCCAGGCTCGTGGTAGTGCACCATGACCAGTGAGCTATGCGGCTGTGTTCCGGCCTGCTTAGGGGAGGAATCTTAGGGGAAATCAAGGCAGAGTGCAGGTGCTGAGCATTCACTGGACCTTCCTTCCCTGACCTGTGAGCTTTGTGCCTACTTAGAAGCAGGGTGGTCCTGTCTTCTTGGGGCCTGAGGCTGGAATTGGGGAGCAGAGACTCCTGGGGAGAATCATCCTTGTGGCTGTAGGAAAGGGAGACCATTGTTAAAATGAATAATCCAGAAGAGATTTTAAGGGGTCATCCAATACTACTGTTCCTTCAGGAAGGTTGGTCCTGTAGCTACATTGACCTTATGTTCTTTGTGTGGCACAGAGAGGTTAAGGAACTTGCCCAAGGCCACACAGCTAGCCAGGGAAAGAGTGAGGATTTATACTCAGATCATTCATCTTGAAAGCATCCCCTCCCCTGCTTGTAGATCTTGGGGACATCCTTCTGAAGAGGCTCCCAGACATCCTGCTCCCCACTCTTAAAGATTCTCTATTGCTGGCTCCCTGCCCGTGACTCCCTGCTCTATTCTTGCTCAGATGTCTTGCCCTGTGCATTCATTCATTTCACGACCCACATCGTTTTCCAGCACTTCATCTTAACACCAGCCTTGAGCTGGAGGCCGTCTGCACCCACACGCACCTCACTGCTGTTCTTTATGCCAGCTCAGGGCAGCTGTTCCCCGGCAGGGCTTTTACAGTCTCCCTTAAAATCTACTTACAGAAAGTTCGGAATATAGCTCCTAAGTTTCTCTTTCAATCTGCCTTTTTTCTTAAAGAGTTATTTTGGTTTTTTCAGCTGAAGAGGCTGATACTTGAGGCCTTTTAATAAGAATAGCCTTGTGCAAGCATGAGCCAGCTTAGCAGGACTGCTGCTGGACGCTCCCGTTAAAAAGGCTTAGCTTTGCACGTAGTAAACTAGAGAAGGAAATAAGAGGGATCTATTTTGAGGCTGAATGAATTACCTCTATCTTCCCCCCCATCTCTATCTTTTATTCCTTGGGTTGAAATGCCCTTCACGTTGGTATCTTCAGGTAGATACTATTGGACTGGAAATGCTCTGGTGCTTCTACAGTGTGACACCAACTGTGTCCTTAAGTCCCCACGAAAGTCAGAGCAGAGCGATATGGATAGCAGATCTTTTCCTCAAGTTTTTTCCACTTGCATCCATCTGGCCCTGGTTTGTGGCAGGCTGGGTTTTAGGTGCATCATCTCATCCTCAGTCTCAGGCTCAGCTACAGCTCGGGGTCCACTGTGACCTTCTGAGTGCTTTTAGTCTTATTTGTGCCCGGTTTGTCAGAGCCCATATTGGACTTCTGCACTCCCTAGCTTTTCTTCACTGGCGAGCTTCCCATCTGTTCCTGGTCAGTGTCCCAAATTGCCAGAGTCTCTTTGGATTTTAGGCCATAGTTTGAGGCACAAGCCTCATTTTCTCAATCTTGGTGTTTTGCCAGCACACAACAATCCTCTGTATGCATCCATTACGCATGGAGATGTGGTGGGTGTTTATCTGCCCGTTAAACCTCCTGGGCCCCTAAGGGAAAAAGTCTCTGGGTTCCTCTCCTGAAGGGTATATAGTGCATAGTTCTTCTTTTCCCACTAAATTGTTTCCGTATGGAACATCCAGTCTGGGAGATGATTTCACCTCTTGTCATCTTTCCTATGTCTTCCTTGAAGTGGGTAAGTTCCTTCTGGCCATTATTGGGTCCTTGGCACCATCGAGCCCCACTTTTATAGAGCCTCAAATCATTTGAAATTGTTCTATTTTTTTAAATCACTGAAGTTGCCGTTCAGCCTTAGATGACCAGCCAGCTCTTTGCAGTTAATGAGGATCCCATTAGAAGGCAGCAGCTCTGCTCCTCTACCTTCTCCCCTCCTCCGAGACAGCTGGGCTGACTTCTCACTGGTGAATGTCAGTCCTGCTGGTGAATGTCAGTCCTGTGGTTGTCTCCAAGGAATGGCATGTGTTAAGGACTTTGTGGTTTGTATCCAAGCAGTTAGGGGCACCCTTACAGGGGAAGCAAAGACAGGAAGATTTTTGCTTCTACAAAGGAGAACCTGGTGCCTAGTCTCCTGGATGAGGCTTGGCATTGGGCTAGGTTCATAGGGGAGCAGGGCTTGCAAGGGCTTATGGGGCCACTACTCCAAGGGGTGGCTATCCCTTGTGGAGGGGTCCTCAGTAGCAGGAAACTCATTATATTTTGGGAGCATTTGTTTGTGCCTCATTTGGACCATCTGCGTGAAGATAAATAGAAGCAGGCTATCGTTCCTGGAACAGAGTAGGGTCTGGCTTCCATCTTCAGGGATGGCTTAGACGGGGAAGTGTATGGAGGCCTCTGAAGTATTTCTCTTGAGTTTACTGTGGGAAAGAAGAGTCTGGGGTGAAGTTATGGCCTGATAACAAGCTTCTAAGCATCCAGAGGCAGATCCTAATCCACTTGTTGAATTTTGCTCTACTATAAATTTGTTATTATTTGTTTATTCATTCATTCATTCATTCATTCATTCATTCATTCATTCTTTCATTCATTGCATTCATTCATTTTCTTTTTGGCAGTTGAACTCAGGACCCTGCGCTTACCAGGCAAGCGCTTATTCTCCTGAGCTATCTCCCCGGCCCCTAACAAGTATTTCTTTGTTGTCCTTTCTGGGCCAGATAAAAGCTAGGCAATAGGGTCACCCAAGCAACAAGCAGCCCAATTGCTGTCTGCTCCCTGAAATCACCCCTCTGCTTGCAAGGGGGTAGTGTTGCTGGGCGCATGCACAGCTTTGCTGCACCAGAGTAGGTCCTCACCAGATTGCTTTTTTGTGCTCCTGGAGAGGGGTCAGAGAGATGGGAATCCCATCTAGGGTACCCTGGAGCCATCCCCTGGTGTGGCACCCACAACCCTATTTGTGTTGCAGGCCCAATGTTGGGTGGAGAGGTGGCTCCTTTAACAACCTTGGAGTGCTGGACGACCACAGCTTATTGAAGACTCCTGGTAAAGACTGTTGGGTGGTGTTTCTACCTGGGCCCCCACTCAGGCTGCCATACACTTACTCAGGGAACTTCCCGAGCCCATTCTCTGTAGGAGGTCCTCTTTGAAGAAAATGATCTTTTATCTTGGGCTCCTGTGTGAAAGTCCTTCCTGGGCTCATGTGTAAAAGGTCTCTTTTTTCCTGCCACAGGGATCCACACCTGTTGGACCCCACGAGGTGAAAAAAGGGGCAGGTGCCAAAATCCAGGTGCCAGGAATCTAGCCTTGGTTCTGTCCTTCTCTAGTTGTGTGGCCTTGGGCAAGTCATTTAACCTCTCTGAGTTTCATCTTCCTCACATGCAAAATGAGGATGTGGTTTACGGGAGCACAGGGCCTCCCCAGACTCTGAGATGATCACTCAATGCGAATGAGTCTGAGGTCATTGCTGAGGGACTCTGAGTGCTAAGGTGGGGCAGAAAAAATATGGGCTATAGTGGAGGGGTCTGAAGTAGGTGGGCCACAGATGGAAGAGCCTGGGGTACCAAGTGACTACTAAGGCAGGCAGGAGGCAGGGGCTACAAGCAGAGGGGGGAATGGGCAGAAGCTTGGTATGTGCCAGGAATGGCTAGCAGGGACACTGTCCATTCACAGGTACCTTTATTTAAACAAAATGACATTTAGTAGCAGCCTTTGTGGTTAGAGGTTGCACTCACATGACCCCCCCTCCCCCCCAAAAGCACAGAACTTCTTAAGAATCAGGCCTAAGACTTGGCTAGGGAACCAGATTCCACCCTTGAAAATAAAATGGGGATGGAGGGAGAACATGGCTGTGCTCGTGGCCACAATGGATTCCCTACTGAGTCCCTTTCTGAATTCTAGACCTAAGGACCTGAAGAAGGGTAGGTGACTGGGAGTCACCTGCTAGAACCACTCCCATGTGAGGACAGATGACCATATGGACAGGTTAACTCTGCCCAACAGAGAAGCATGGCCTGGCGGAGGTCACATCTCCTGGTTGCCAAATGCACTCTTCTTCACAGAAGGTAATAGGTGGAGATGGAAGGAAAGTCAAACCTTTCCCCTGGGGATCTCTAGGACAGTGAGGTTTTGCTTTTTTTATGACCCTGAGCTGACAGGAAGAGGGAGGAATGATTTCACTTGCAGCTCTGGAACGCTTGAGCAGTGTTAGACTAGAATGTTCCTAACAAGGCTACTTTTAAGCTGCTCATGTCTGCCCTCCCTGTCCGCCAACCCTGCTAGCTCAGAGGAGTTAGTCAGAAAGTGGATATATGAGCAGGCAAGTAGATGGATGGGTAGGAGCCCTTTGAGAGCCTGGACATCTGAATTTATTGGCAGACAAACTTTCTTCACCATTGTCTGTGCCTTGAAAACCGTGGCCAACTTTTACCCAGGAGCTTCACCTAGTGAAAGGAGGGAAGAACTAAGAATTCCCCTGATGCCCATCTGTCTCATTTATGCCCTTCTTTGTGCCTGCACCTATCCTCTCTGGTAAAGTTCTTGGGTCTGGCAGAGATTGAGTATGTGTTTGCTGTGAGAATGGAGAGGCTGTGTAGGAATGTTCTGAACTGGGTTCCATGGAAAGCACGTGCTGATTAATTCTGTCTCCTTTGCTTCAGAGTCTCCCTCGCAGACATCACACACACCCACACGCCCACCCTCATGGCTCACCTTCAACTTGGATTTGCTTTATCTTATATTCAAGGCGTCTTAACAAGTATGCAGAATAGGATGTGTGATTTGCGGGGAGGCACCATGCCAGACCAAAAACAGCTCCCTCTCGAGCAGGTACCAAGGGCCTTGAGATGCCACTGCTACAGTTGGTCTCTTTGGGCGAGGTGATGCCATTTGAACCCCAGCCCTGCCACTTGCACTGTACAGCCTCCCACCTTCCTCCACAGAGGAGGCTCTGGGCCAGGCTAATGGGGTAGGTAGAAAGGTTATCAGTGTGTCTGACACAGAGCAAATGCCCCAAAAATGTAGCCCATGATTGGATTAAGCCTTGCCTTGGGGGAAGATCCAATCCCAGCAGTGCCAGCTTTGGGCTACTGATGTGAATCAATTTTCCTCTATAACAGAAAGGACCTGTGGGCAGAAAGAGCACCCAGGAGTGGAAAGCACTCGGGGAATATTGGTAAAAGAAGCGATAGCAAAGCGTGGAGCTCCTGGCCCCAAAGCTGATTGTCCCGTCCTGTTTTCTCTCGCCCACTTCAGGCTGGCTTGTTGCTCCTCTTGCTATGATGCCTGGGCAGATCCCAGACCCTTCTGTGACCGCAGGCTCTCTGCCAGGGCTTGGCCCTCTCACCGGACTCCCCAGCTCGGCTCTGACTGCAGAGGAGCTGAAATACGCTGACATTCGCAACATTGGGGCCATGATCGCGCCCTTGCACTTCCTGGAGGTAAAACTGGGCAAGAGGCCCCAGCCCATGAAAAGTGAGGTGAGTGTGTCTGCTATTGCAGCGTCTTGGGCTGGCCCTACGGGTGACACGCTGTGGAGCCCTGGCCTTGCTGTGCCACATGTGGCGTGAACACCAGCAGTATAAATGGGGGTTGGAGGCCCTGCTCCCCAACCTGTGAACTGGAATCTGTGTTTTTAAGCAGCCCCTCAGGGGTTCATGAACACATGCAAGGTGAGGTCAGGAGGCTGCTGCCAGAGGCACGGGAGGCACGATGGTACTAACGAATGGCGACGTCCTGGTCATCTCCCTGGGAGTTGGTGGGCAGAGGTAATGGAAATGTGTGCATATTTTAAAAAGTATAGAAGAGAATGCTAATGTTGAGTAACCTCTAAAACTTATTAGACTTTACCTCTTTTGACCCCAGTTTGGGGCCGAGCAGGGGAAGCTGGAAGAGAGGTGATTTGGCCTCCCTTATCTGGCCACTGTCAGAGCTGGGCATGGCCTCAGTAGCCAGCGCCATCTGCTTGAGACAGTGGTGGCAGAGGGTGGACACACACTGAGCGCCCTTCCAGTCCCAGCCTGTGGCACCTGCACTCTGACGAGTCTCACATGCAGAAGGGCAGCTTTGCTCAAGGGGCTGGTAAGAAGCAGAAGTCCCCGCACAGCTCAGCATCAATGCAGTGTGTGCTAGCCTGAACTTGTGATTTGCTCAAATGTTTTCCCTGGTGAGTGCCCCAGAAGAGCCATTTCTACAGGGGAGGTGGGCAGCATGTGGGGCATCTCTGAGTACCAGGTGTGCAGAGCCTTGTCCAAGGGACAGTGTTTGCAGGCAAAAGTGGGCCTGGCTCCTCCCCTAGGGTGGAAGGTGGAGGCTCTGAAGTCAACAGAGAGGGGCTCCCAAGTGCAGACGGTACCTCGGGAGGAGCTGCCTGTATTATGCAGCCTTTGCTCAGCTCCTCTCTCCTTTGAGCTCTGTGAAAACTACAAGGAAGGGATTTTGGGGGCCTGGCCGTGGGTGGCAAGCTGGTACTTTGTGGGCTGGATCTGGCTCTCAGATGTGTTTTGTTTGGCCTGTGCAGTATTTAAAAAGCACCTTGAACCAACATTTCACTTAAATATTGCAACTAAAAAATGGGAAGATCTGGTCACAGTGCCTTGCTCAGTCATGGCAACTGCCGTACTGCACTGAGGGGAGACAGCCGCTTCACTTTTTCCTCTCGCCAGTTTGCCACCAGCATCTCCACTTCCCTGTCACTCGATACTGATTACGCTGTTGGGTTTGCGTTTGTTACTGCTGGCTGCCTTCATCTGCTTCCACTGCCTAGTCTTTTTTGTGGCCTTTTGTGCTTGTGACACTGTCATTAGGTACACAGAAAGTGCCTACTAACGACTGTTGATTGTAAGAGGACAGTTGGCCGTGATTAGATTCTTCCAGATCGACTTTGCCTGTCACGGCTGTGCTGCTGTAGCACCACGTGGCCTCGTGTCCTGCTCTTACGGAGGGCCCCGGTCTGGGCCTGCCGCTGGTTTCCTTCCCAGCCCCCTAACCCTGAAGTCTCTGTTTCTGGACCATTTGCAGTAAAATTGCCTCCGCGAGCCTGTAGCTGAGCGGTGTCCTTGCCCTGGACTCTCCAAAAAAGGCCCTGGAAGAGCTTCTCTGTTTTTTTAGAAATGGCTTTATTTGGGTTGGCCATTTTTACATTTCACAGCCACCCCCAAACTAGTGGCAAATGCCCTGTACCTGACATGCTGTTCTCGCAGGCACCCACAAACGGGTACCATCCGGGCCCTGGAAATAACGAGCTGTTTTTAGGGCATATTTGCATGTCCTCTTGCTTGCTGTCAGCATTGCGGGGGTGATGTGACACTTGGATCTGCAGAGATCATGCCTCACAGGGGAAGACGGCAGGCCTTGTGCTGAGTATTTTCCTCCCAGCTTGTCCCTGTCCCACCTTAGAGGTGGGGCTTATCCTTGGAACAACAAACCCAGAGCGAGTAGGGAGAGAAACCTGCAGCTGTTGAAGCTGTGTTTGAAGACCTATTTGCATATGGCAAATTTCCACACTGGCATTTTAAGCTAGTAAAATTTTCTTGAATAATAATAAGGCACCAGCTCAGACTGATGAAACATTCAGTATGTACCAGGCCCTGTGCTGAGGGCATAAAATGATAGTCTCATTTATTCCTTACTCAGTTCTGGCAACCAAGTTATCCCTTCAGTAGAGGAGAGGAATTTGAGGTCCAGCGAGCGTAAGTGGCTCCTGGACTGCTGGGCCGCCGGGGCTGGATGACGGTGAGCTGTGTACCAGGCAGGCCTAGCACTGGACACTCACTTATCTCACACAAGAACCCTGTGCAGTCGTGTCGTTATCTTTACAGTCACATCACAGTCAAGGTCCACAGGGTGAGGGAGGAACCCAGGCAGACTGAATTGAGCGCCAGGCCTTTGCTGTCTCAGTGCTGCCCTGTGTTCACTATATCCCACCCAGGCCACCAACGTGAGGTCTTTGGGACTAGGGAGCCCATTGAAGCTGGCCACAGAGCACTTGATCGTTTCAGTGATAGCCCAGTTAGTGGTGTATCCTGCAGCTCTGCAGTCTGGTGGTCCCCTAGGCGTCAAGAGGGCCTAGCCGCAGTGCAGGCAGCCCTGGGTCTGGCTCTGGACTGGGCTGCTTACCTGCGGAAGCTGCACCTCTTCTGGGTCACTTCCAAATGCAGAGAGCAGTTCAGTAAAAGAAACTCCAAGGAACTGATTAAACAGGAGCTTTGTGGCTTACGAAGTGCTTTGGCCTGATGTTACCACCTGGCTGACAAAGAATGTCAGACTGGTTCGACACAGACTGCCTGCTGCAGTCCGTACACTAGGGATTTACTGTGTCCCAAAGGGGGGGGCTCATTTGCAAACAAAGCAGATCAAGCCCTCCCCCTCTTGAAACTATACACTGCTGGGGGAGCAGCAGAGAAGAACCAGTTATCCTGGAAAAGGTCAGGTGGTGGTGGTCAGTCCTATGGAGAAGGATTAAGCAGCCCGGTGGGATGGACAGGGGCAAGCTGCCCTTCTGATGGCCAGGCGTTCTGGGGCCATCCTGGGTTAAAGGACTTTTATTGCCTTTTTCCAGTTTTTATTTTCTGTTAGGAAATGTGTGTAGTTGAATGCCAGTGATTAAATGTCTACAAGGGGGACAAAAAAAAAAAGTCCAGGAAGATAGCTCAGTGGCTTAAGTACCTGCTTGGCAAGCATGAGGTCCTGAGTTTGATCCCTGGTACAAAAAAACCAAAACCAACCAACCAAACAAACAAACAACCCTAAATAACCCTCTATGGAGAGTTGATACAGGTGCAAAACACTTCTCTCTCTTTTTTTCTTCGTTAACTTTATTGATAATAATTACGTAGCATATTAAAAATTGTAGACAAATATTAAAATGTGAAATATAGATGTAGACAGAGTGAATTTTAGAGAAATATTTCTGAAATGAATACATAGCATGAAATTAATAGATCTGCACATTGTAAATAAATTATTTATTTACAAACTTAAATGAATATAACAATAAAAATTGCCAAAATAAAAATGAAGAA